TGTAGAGCTATAATTCTGCACTTAAGTACAGTTTTATTACACTGCCTGTTAGACATGAGAGAAAAAGAAAAACACATAAGATATTTGTTTCACTCTCAGATAAGACGTTGTCTGAAACACAAACAACTACCTGCTATAAGTGAAGTAGGTGCAGCGCGGATGAGTTGAGCACAGAGTCTGACAGTGTTCAGGAGAGGCAGCAGGCAGAGACTCAATGTCACTTCCTGGGATGTCAGTGTTTGGAAAAAGCTTTCTCTGACATACTGAATATAAAAGAGGAAAGACATTTGTTTTGTTTGATATGCTTTTATATCCCCATGTGAAGCACTTTGTAATAGATTCTAGTCTTAAAAGGCCCATATAAATACATTTTACTTACTTACAATAGGAAAACACACAGGCAACAAACAGGAAGTGGGCCGAAAGCTACAACTAGGTCTATGTACCTTTGTCAAAGTGCTGAGTTTGGTTTGTTTTTTGGGAGAATCCAGATGTTACACCAGCTTTTCTTTCAATAACAGGAGTCCTTGGTACAGTCCAACTGAATTTTAGGTGACACTTATACCTTAAACAGAACAAGAAATCATATTCTCCTTTGCTGTTAGAGCGCGAAATATCATGGACAAACATGGACATGCAGTTTTAAAAAACAAGATGTGACGCAATAAAATGCAATAAGATGAACTTTGGGAAATGCAGAGGTGTAGGACAAATCTTTTGTGGTTAAACAATAAATAAATATGGAAACATGTTTAAAATAAATACACTATCCTAACTCAAATTTACCTGACTTTACTATTTAAGAAATTCTGTTTTACAAAAGTGAAGAACTGACACGCAGGGTCCTGAGTGCACACTCGCTGGCACTCCTTGTGGTCACCTGTGAACACGGACCTGTAGTCTCCCCCGATAAAGTCCATGTTTTGGTACAGCTCAGACAGGCAAGGTTCTGTTTCAAACAATAGAAACATGCATAAAGAAAGGTAAACTGGAGGTGAACATACTTCATGAATTGCTTAATTTTTAAAATGGTTTATTAATGGTTGTAAACCTACGTGGGCCTGGGCTGCAGGATTTTAGAGAAAAACCAGAAGTGACACCCTGTACTGGAGTCTGAACACTGGGCTCTCCTGAGGGAGTGGACTTTAGGTAGCAGTAGAAGTGCCTGCAGAGACCGACAAGTAGAAGGAGCCATAGTACAACCAATATAACACATATATAACAGATCCTGAAATAACATGACATACTGTGCTGCACCTTACAACCTGCCACTGCAAGCTGGACCTGGATAAGTACGTGTATATATTGCAACTCATTTGTGCCAGTCATACCTGTCATCATGGGTCCAATCAGCACGAATAAAGGTAAAGAAGAGGCAAGAGGGGTGCTGGGTGCACAGGAGCTGACAGTGGTTAACATCAGGGGAGTAGAGAAATGTTATGTCATTTCCCGGGAAATCCATGTTCAACAGAGTATTTGGATTACATGCTGAAGAACAGAAAAGGGAAATATTTAAGGAAACATTTACATGTACAAAGACGTTGTTCATATATCACAAACATTTAACCACACAAAAGTGCCAAAAAAAGCATAATGGTACATGAACAGGTAGTTGCATACGTTTAGCCCTGTCATAACAATATATTGCATAGTGCATCATACCTTGACATAAAGAAGAGCTGAGGAGGGAGAGAAGACCAACGAAGATCAAATGTGTTATCATCTTTAACGTTTAACATCAGAGGAAATGAAACTCATCAAACACGACTACATTTAACGAAAAGGCTGTGCAAATAGAAAATGGTCCTTTGAGCCATCCAAAGGGCAATTTTGCAATCGGATCTATTTGCACAGCCAATCTCTGGCACAGTCAATAACCTGCCCTACAACTAGAGTTTAGATAACTTTATGTTGGCATTTACCAAAGTGAAAATTTATCATGTGCTTTGATTATTGTGTCTAGCTTTGGTTGTTGCCATATTCCATAAATGAAGCTGGCCTCCCATGTGTACAGGCTGATTTTGGGTTCATACTGAAAAACAACGTGTATGAATGTTTAAGTAGCAAACGGCAGAATTTAGTTTATTGCTCTTTACTTTCAGACACTGACTTTTCCAAATGCAAAGAACAACCAACAAACTGAAATGCAATCACAGATACTAACAGGATCAGTGCCCGATGAACGAAGTGAATCCATCAGCAGAGGGCAGTGATGTTGTACTCTTATCATTATATAATCCTGTTGAACGATACAAAGGACTCCAACTGTAGAAAGACAGACTGGTGTTATGTCTGGAGATTCCCACACAAAGAAATGTTAACATAGGTGGTTAATGTCATAGTCCTACCCGCAAGAAACCTTGCATGTTTTGCTGTTATGTGTCTTGCACAGTTTAAGGTTTTTCTGCCTTTTTGTGTCAGAATTTAAACATCTTTATGTTTGAAAACAGTTGATAACATTATCAGAAAGGAAACACTCAGGAAACAATGACATACAAGAGTATAACAGAATAACCAACAAAGCACTAAAATGAATGTAAAAGAGTTTTGACTCAGTAGCTTGGAGCACCACAGTCTCACCTCCTTTCCTATTTCTCAGTTTGCACACACTTATTTGTCTCCTTGTCTTCTCTCCTTGGCTCTTAGTCCTTCCTACCCAACATGTGAACGAAGGCCACTTGGGGAGCGTGGAACAGCTGCATCATAAATTGTTTCATTAAAGCCCAACTACTGCCGTGTAATGCTGTCAAATGTAACAGTGCTCCTCAGTTTTTCTTTGATATTCAGGGCTACATGTAATTACAATTGCAACATGGCTCATACAGTGATAAGATATTATTCCAGTTTTGTTTTGTTTTGTTTTTTGATCACCCACACACAGTGGGTCGAACATCTGGAATGAGTAAAACAGCTTGTGTACACAAAGGACTAGCTGCTTAGAAAAGCTAAAAAGAGAGGAAGGCTGCTTTGTGCAGAGGAATGCAGTGCAGTAACTGAAAGTGACCTCACAGCTAATCTGCAGCTGATTAGCTCTTCCTTTGATATTAATTTACCAACATTAATTTTTTTTGCATTATTTTTTTTCCATCTGTATTCGACATCTTAGAATAGATTTTTGAACAGGTTTATGATTCAATCCTGTCACTGGTGGTTTTCGAGTGCTCCGGCTGGTAGTAGCCTTCAATCTCAGGTGTGGTCAGTGAAAGTTGCTCCCACTTATTTTACATGCGGATTTGATCCTTTGTTTGGTGTTTTGGTTTGTTGATGGTAATTGTTTGCCTCCTGTTGGTCCCATCTTTCTTTCTTGCCTTGGTTAGAATTTTGAAAACTCACATTTGCTTGCCACGGCTTTTTAGATAGAAATTGCCGCAGTGACATGTTAGAGGGAAACATTGGGATCATGTGTCCTTCCTTTATATACAAATGATAACCCACTGGCGCCAGTGCCGACCTCTCAATGCATGTAGACATTAAGAGTTCTCGGGAGGGGCCATGCTGACACCTGCTGCTTTCTGGCAGGAAGCACCATGCCCTCCCGTGTTTTAAATGCACTCTAGAACAACACGTGGCAACACTACACATGAGCGGAGGGAGGGAGGTATGGGGTCTTCCGACATCCCGTTCTCTGTTAGCCATCGGGGCAGAGGGGCTGGACGGAGGTGTTGGCCTCCAATTGGGATCTGGGATGCAGGGGGCGGCCTGCGTGTCTCCACCCCGGGGGAAAGGGTAACATCTGGACCTGGACCTGAGGTAGAGAGTATGTTTGGGGAGCGTGATTGTGTGTACAATGTCCATTTGTGTCTGTCTTTACGTTGTGTGAGTGCTGAGTATTTGTATATGTGTGCATAAGGGTAGGAATGCACGTTTGTGTCTGCGTGTGCCTGTTTGTCTGTTTCTATATGTCAGGTCGGATCTCAGACTCCACCTCTCTGGCAACATCTCAGGACTATCTCCCCTCACCACACTCCCTGCTGGTGGCCAATGGCCTCAGGTGTCAGTGTGTTGGTGGCGCCCGTGGCTCGGTCGGGCCTCTTTGGGGATGTGGGGGGCCCTCAGGCCTTCGGCCTCTGGGCCTGTGGCTTTGGCACAGCTCGCTGCGGGCAGAGCCTGCGGGCACACCACTGCAGCCCCTTCTGGCTTCTGCTCAGTGGCTGCTGGGTGACCTCTC